AAATCCCCCCTGGATCACCCTAAATCCCTCTGGATCACCCCAAATCCCCTCTGGATCACCCCAAATCCCCCCTGGACCACCCCAAATCCCCCCTGGATCACCCCAAATCCCCGATCCCTGATTCCCAGCTGCTCCCTGCAGTGCTGGCTCCTGACGAGGACGAGTTGGTGGCCATGGAGGTGACGTCCCCTCCTCCCATCCCCAAAAAATCCGGGAGCTCGGCGCTGGAGCCGCCCCCGCCCCGCCTCGGGACCAAGCTGAGCCCGGAGCCGCCGGGCAGCAAGGCCGAGCCCCAGGACTCCAAAGGTGAAAATTCCCGGGGATTTTCCCCCATTCTCCTGGGATTCTCCTGGGATTCTCCTGGGATTCTCCTGGGATTCTCCCGGGATTCTCCTGGGATCCGGGCCCTCTGAGCCCACCCAGGGTGGTTTGGGGTTAATTAATGTGGGGTTAACGAGGGGGGATTGACCTGCTTGGAGTCCAGAGCTGCGGCGCGGAGCGGTTGGAATTTTTTGGGATTGGCTCCCAAGTTTTCCTTCCTGTCCCTCCTTGTTCTCCTCGCTCTGGGATCGCATTTATCCTGATTTTTCCCCATTTTTCCCTGTTTTTTCCCCATTTTTTCCAGTTTTTCCCCCATTTTCCAGTCCCCAGCCTGACCCTGTTCAAGGCGTGCAGCACCAGCTCTGATCCCAAAATTTGGGCTGGGAGGGGTTGGAATTTTTTGGGATCGGCTCCCAAGTTTTCCTTCCTGTCCCTCCTCCTTCTCCTCGCTCTGAGATCACATTTATCCTGATTTTTCCCGTTTTTCCCAGTTTCTCCCCCATTTCCAGCCCCCAGCCTGACTGTTCAAGGTGTGCAGAACCTGCTCAGATCCCAAAACTTGGCCTGGGAGGGGTTGGAATTTTTTGGGATCGGCTCCCAAGTTTTCCTTCCTGTCCCTCCTCGTTCTCCTCACTCTGAGATCACATTTATCCCCATTTTTTCCCATTTTTCCCAGTTTTTCCCCCATTTTCCAGCCCCCAGCCTGACTGTGCAAGGTGTGCAGGCCTGCTCCTGAAGCTGATCCCAAGGGATTTTTTTAACCCCTGATTTCCCAGATCCCAAGGGATTTTTAACCCCTGATTTCCCAGATCCCAAGCCATTTTTAACCCCTAATTTCCCTTTTTTCCCCCATTTCCCATTTCCCAGCCTGACCACCTGAAGCTGATCCCAAGGGATTTTAACCCCTGATCTCCCAGTTCCCAAGGGATTTTTAACCCCTGATCTCCCAGCTCCCGAGGGATTTTAACCCCTGATTTCCCGCTCCCCAGCTGCCAGCCTGACCATGTGCGAGGTGTGCGGCGCCTGCTTCGAGACCCGCAAGGGTCTTTCCAGCCACACCTGCTCTGATCCCAAAATCCTGGCTGGATGGGAGCTGATCCCAAGGGATTTTTAACCCCTGATCTCCCAGCTCCCGAGGGATTTTAACCCCTGATCTCCCAGCTCCCGAGGGATTTTAACCCCTGATTTCCCATTTCCCAGCCTGACCACCTGAAGCTGATCCCGAGGGATTTTTAACCCCTGATTTCCCAGCTCCCGAGCGATTTTAACCCCTGATTTCCCGCTCCCCAGCCGCCAGCCTGACCACGTGCGAGGTGTGCGGCGCCTGCTTCGAGACCCGCAAGGGGCTGTCGAGCCACGCGCGCTCCCACCTGCGCCAGCTCGGCGTGGCCGAGTCCGAGAGCTCGGGGGCTCCCATCGACCTCCTCTACGAGCTGGTGCGCCACAAGCCCAAGGCCGAGCCCGCCGGCCCCGCGCTGGCCAAGAAGTCGGCCGGCTCGCCCAAGGAGCCGCCGCGGCCGCCGCTGCTGCTGCTGCCCAAGCCCGAGGGCTCCCTCAACAAGGCCATCAAGTCGCCGCCGGGCTTCGGCAAGGCCCTGGGCCGGCCCGGCTCGCCGGGGCTGCGCAAGGCGCCGCTGCCCGGCTCGCCCAAGGGCGCCGAGGAGAAGGGCGCCAAGCTGGCGCTCAGCCCGCTGCCCGCCGAGGCCAAGTGGGCGCCCGAGGAGGACGGGCCGCTCAACCTCAGTGAGT